CGGCTTTATTTATCCTCTGACGTGTATATTATCCTTCATTATTTGGGATAAAAGTAGTCAGGGATGATCCAAGTGAGTTTGATTGTGGTGAACTGAACTCCAGGCTATCTCGGGAACAACAAATTCAGCCTTGCTAACGTGAAATATCACTCCAAACTTTGAGTACTTGCCTGTTGTCTGAGCCGTCCTCTACATTTTCTGGTGCAGTAAACTTAGTTGACCTACACAGTTAGAACAGTTGCTGAGTTATCGAACACACTTGGGCAATCGTACATCCCTTAGGCTTGAAGATCGCCTGAAAACTCAACTGGGTTCAGCATGTGCTGAAAATATTATCACCAAATAGGCTGCTTATTTATTTGAGGCAAAGTAGTACTAAATTCCTGCCTGAAAACCCTCCGAAATACTAGTGAGATAATACGGCAAAAAGTATGGACGTAATACACTACTCATAAGGCTGCTGAGAAACCCTTGACATCCCACGACAGCTTTAGCCCTTCTTAGAGCTCATTAGGTGAGGGAAGTCCCCGAGTTTCCGTCAAATTTAGGTTCTACTTGAGACAAAATTGCACGAAGTTAGCGAAATACACTCATTTGCAAACTTATTTGTTTTTTTTTCGAGAGACTCACCTGGAGCCCAGCTGAATCTCTCGGTTTTGATGTTCTCAGGCAACTGAATGTGCCAAACCAGGCCGCTACATGTTTCAGTTGCCACGGTATTTGAGTTATCGCGATACATGTATATTCGTACTTCACTACTCATAAGGTAGCTGAAAATTCTTCGTTAGCCCACGACCGGTTTCGCCTTTCATGCGGCTCATCAGGTAGGCGCAGTCTCCAAGTTTCTGTCAACCTGATCTTTTACTTGAACCCCAATTGGACAAGTTTCGACAGATACCCTCGTTTGCATATCAGCGTGGTTTAACGACATTCAGCCGGGTTCCAGGTGGGTTTTTCTCACAAGACCAACTTTGTTTACCAACCAGTGTATTTCGCTTATGGCAAAAAGTGCTTCGAAAAAGGGTACACAAAACTGAGAGTACTAATTGTCACTAATCCCGATTTAACTCCAGTTTTTTAGTAATGCCGAGACTCAGACTGGCGCAGCCAGAAACAAAAAAATCACCTTGGTGGTTTATTTTTGAACATTTCAAGAGATTTTCACAATCAAATATGAGGCATGAACTCAAATAAGCTTGTCCTGCTGGACAGAAATCAGTAGTATATCCGAGGAGAAAATAACGATAGACAAGTGTAGATTTTCCATCCTTATCTACTAAAACACTATTTAATCCCATAAAAAATGTTCAAATGACAAGCAGATGCGAATGAACTCTATCATTTTCCTACAAAATCGGGCCCGCAATCCCGAGGAAATTAATTTGGGTTTCAGCGAACTCACGCATTTGTAAACTAATTTGGATTTGAGAGAGACTCACCTGGAACCCAGCTGAACCTCTCGGTTGTGATGTTTCCAGGCGACAAATGTGCTGAACCAGGCTACCTCATGTTTCAGGTGCTACGATACTCAAGATATCGCGATAAATGTATATTCGTAATGCACTACTCATAAGGGTGTTGAAAACGAGAGATTCAGTTGGGTTCCAGGCGAGTCACCAGTCAAAACCAAATTAGTTTGCAGATGAGTGTAGTTCTCTAATTTCGGGCAATTTGGTTCTAAGTAGAACATAAGGTTGACGGAAACTCGGGAACTGCATCTACCTGATGAGCCCCAAGAAGGGTGAAACCGGTCGTGGGCTGTCGATGGATTTTCATCAACCTTATGAGTAGTACATTACAAAGACATACATGGATCGCGGCATCTCGAATATCGTAGCGAATGAAATATGAGGTGGCCTGGTGCAGCACATTCAGTTGCCTGAATACATTAAAACCGAGAGATTTAGCTGGGTTCCAGGCGAGTCTCCAGTCAAAACCAAATTAGTTTGCAGATGAGTGTAGTTCTCTAATTTCGGGCAATTTGGTTCTAAGTAGAACATAAGGTTGACGGAAACTCGGGAACTGCATCTACCTGATGAGCCCCAAGAAGGGTGAAACCGGTCGTGGGCTGTCGATGGATTTTCATCAACCTTATGAGTAGTACATTACAAAGACATACATGGATCGCGGCATCTCGAATATCGTAGCGAATGAAATATGAGGTGGCCTGGTGCAGCACATTCAGTTGCCTGAATACATTAAAACCGAGAGATTTAGCTGGGTTCCAGGCGAGTCTCCAGTCAAAACCAAATTAGTTTGCAGATGAGTGTAGTTCTCTAATTTCGGGCAATTTGGTTCTAAGTAGAACATAAGGTTGACGGAAACTCGGGAACTGCATCTACCTGAGTTTTAAGACGTGCTTGTTTCTCGGAACCATCCCAGACTTTGTTATAGTGTCTCCGAAAGACAACACCAACCCAAATCAGTAAGTTCTCAAAGGTTCTGAAAGAGTTTTCACTTTGGTCGGAATAGGTGTTTCTTTATAGGTGAAACCTTTCGCAGAGCAGTTGTTGCCCAAGATCCCATGGCGCCAAAGAAGTGTTGGAGAAAGCTTGCGTCGAGAAATTTCCGGGACAGAATACAGAGTAAGAGACATTCAACTGCATTACTGCAAGTCACACCATTTCACCAGTTCCATGTATCAAACGTGGACAGATTTTACTGTGTTTACACAATCAGAATCCATAGTGGATTCTAGACAGCTTCGCTGATGACGTAAAGTCATGCTGGAACGCAGGACAAGCCGGTTTGAATCAGAGATATTCTTCAAATGAGATTTCATCCTGTCAGTGAAGTCCGTCTATACGGAAAAGGCGAGAAGCACTGTTAGGGATCGTCAGCAGTACGCATCTCAAGAAACCCTGGTAGGGAGTTTCGAACCCGTGACCTTCTGGTTGGACATTCCAAAAATTGGCCTTGAGCTGCAGTGTGAATAGCTCTCAATTTCCTACAAATTCCGACTGCTATCACAGCTTCTGTGTTTATTTGTGCAATGAACGGAGTAAATGGTTTTGCAACTTAAGCTAGTTCCTCAAAAAGTCATGACAATTAAGCTCATCAGTTTGGCACATAAACCCTCTGTCGACTACCAGGATAACAGACAGATGTGTCTTTATTGGGCACTTTCTAATCCAACAACGTATTTTGAAATTGCAAGTGATGCAACTCTGCAGTTTGTCCACACATTCTGGCCACAAAAACAAAACGATTGAGCCTGTTTGGACGGAAGTTTAAGAAGTGATGAGTAAACAACCGAAAGAGGGAAAGTCCTTTTCGAACAAGCCTTTAACTTTTCTGAAGGATACATTAACTTAACCGTTTGCTTACTACGGGACGCCACAAGCGAAGCCGATTTGTCCGGATGCTGAAACTTCACGGAATGACTAGATCAGCATACGCCATCAAACCTGCGATTGTCAGACTGCTGAGATCGTCCGCGATATCATCGACTTTTTTCTGAGGACTATTTCACAACTCAGTGTCTTTCCGGGGTTCCTTCAATTGCCTTAAAAGTACCGCACACCTCAGAACTGATCACCTATGATCGAAATTCCCTGCGAGTTTCTATGTTTTATCGGAAAATATCAGACAAGTTCATATTTTCATTGCAAGCTGTAAAGTACAGCTTTGGCAAGGTATATGATCTCGAAAAATCTCATTGGACGGAGGGTTTCAGTCGTGGTAACATTTAGTCACAGTTAATCGGTATATTTAGCCGGAACTTTTGTCCCCTTGAGAAGCATTCATTAAAAATTCAAGTTTTACCATAACCCGATTTAAGCAGCCATTTGTAACCAGAAGAATCAATCTGTCTTAAAATGTCGACCAATTGACGTTGAATAAAGCTAACAATCCATCTCACCGAGATTGCTTCTAAAACTTCTAAATAGGTGTTATGAGTTCGCTGTCACTGATGAGAACCCATCAACTGTGCAAATCATGAAACCGCTTGTCAAACAAGGAGAGCAACATAAAGTAGAACTCTCTGGAACTGGTGCATGTCAGTCGAACAATATCAGCTTCCACAATACAATGGAAAGCCGAATAAGATGCACACTTTTAGGCAGTTGATTTTACTTTAAAAAAAAACAGAAAAAACAAACGCACAGTTGGGCAAGGTAGATTGTCAAAAGGGACACCAAACGGCAAATCAAGCTTTGCCATCCAACTGGGTGGATGGCAGAATGTGTCGACTCCAGAGCCTCCTAATTGCTAAAAAAACTCCGAAAAATCAGAACAATCCTCTTCAGTTTGTCCATCCACGAGAAGGATCAATCGCTTCTTTGTGTAAACTTAGAACGTTTCCAAGTAAACCTTTAAGTCCAACTTATAAGCTGATGGAATTCCAGAGATGTGTGACAGAAAAAAAACCTGCAAAACGGTCACCCACACCGCTGTGTCACTTTTTTGTTACAAAGAAAAACAATAAACGAAAAAAACGAGTCGGGAATAAATCCAAAAAGGAATCTCATCAGAGAAAGAAACACGGATGTATTTGTTAGATTCTAATGGGTATTGAGTGACAAGTGAGTATGGCGTCGCAGAGTATTCATTGGCACTAGAATTTTCTGCGACTTTT